GATGTCTAGACTCTACCCCCGAACATCCTGATTTAATTAGTATTGGATATGGCAAGGTATTGGGATATTAAATGCTCTCCAAGTAATTCCAATGAGCAGCAAAGTTTAGAGATCACTGAAATAGGCCAGTTAAGCCTACCGATTCTCCATACAGTGCTTCATTCACCAGTAATGGATCTTAATGATAGGCACATGTGAGATAAAGGCGTTTACTCATCTTGTTGATTAGAAAACTGATCATTGCATTGTGACAGCCATGAGTTTGAGACAGGAGTATCACTAGGCCTAATCCATCATTTATGCTGGTTAATTTTCTGAGACCTGAACATGCATCAGAGGGTAAGCTAAAGGCCACAGTTTATACCCTTGGAGTTCTTTTTACCTCACTTTTCATACGACTCCTATGAGCTTTAAAACTCTGTGAAGCAGGCATTATCATTTCTTCTACAGCTACAAAAATGGGAACTCCAAGTGGTTTGCCAAAGATTAGCCAGCCAGTGAGATCCAACTGGAACACCAACAGAGACCGAATGACTACAGATCTTAAACTCCTTTTATGAGGTCACATTGCCAAGTTAACCAGGTCTCTAAAAATTAAGTTTAAAGGTTTTGGTGCCTGATTTTCAGACTCAGGAAATAGTCATGTCTTATTTAAAATAGCATCAGAGATTCGAAAGGAGGGAGAACAACATGATAGGAGTACTTCCTTTCATTGGTCGTTGACTACTCATTTATCCTGCACACAAGGGCAGAAGGTGGACGAGGTGCATGGGAAGGCTGAATAATTTATTTCCCCAACCTGTTAAAAATCTGAAAAATGGTAAGTGTTTGTTGATGAGCCTCTAGCTCTTTGCAGTTTCTTCCTTCCTGTATTCGGTATATTCATCATTCAGGGCATCAGAAAACACTATACCTTGTTTAAATCAGCATAATAACCCCAGGGTGTAGGGTTTTTGTGTTTTTGCTAAAATCTATTGATTTCTGTGATTCTAGGCAACAGGAAGACAAAAGGCACATTCTCCCCACATTTGTGTTACAAATATTTAACTTGGATTAATCTATATAACTGCAGTTGAATGCTTTCTCACAAGCTGAGGGAGCTCAGAGAACTGAATGTTATTTAACAATGTCAACTTTCTTTGTCAGACAGAATCTAAATGGGTGAAAAATTAGCAAGACAAGCCATAAGATGTCATTTTTATGGAGTGGGGGAAATTTACTTCAAAACAATGTTTCATTGTGTAGTACAATCTGTCATAGTAGAGCTAACATTCTAGTGGGATCTAATCCCTTATAGAATAGAATGAAATTTCATTCTTTAAACAAAGCTACCTTTAAGCATCTCTGCTTTTTTTCCCTCAGCTCTTTCTGTGTCTGCCTTTTGAGCCAAACTTAAGTTTTACTCTAATGGCCAAAACTGTTTTCTCTATGCAGGGCAGGTCTTGGCTTAAAACATCTAGGGTTTGCCTTTACAGACCTAGGCATTCTGCCTGTCTGTCTTTTCCCACTTGGCCTTTGACTTGGCTGGCTTTCTTGGTTGCTGGAGTCAACTACAAGGGTGATACTGAATTGGCCCAATCCTGTACATGGATCTATCTAATGCCATAGTTGGGGGTTAGGCCAAATAGAGAAGAACATTCACACCCCAAAACAGCTAGCTAGTTAATGTAAACTAGAGCTCCAGATTATTTCAGCGGGGATTCCAACAGCAAAATCATCTATGTATGAAAGGTCATCCTGAGTGTAGCAGAGTTCCAACAATAGGAAATGAGAATCAAAATCACTCTAAAGAAAATACCATAGGCTTCTATACATCCACCTTGCATGCTAGAAGTCCTCCATTTTCCAAGGAATGTCCATATGACCTCCTTCTGCCTGTAGTTAGTGCTTGCTGAAGTCCAGTGTTAGGCTGGGTAGCAGCAGATAAGAGAGTATGCTGGGACAGGGTGTCTGATGGAGGAAGTCGGAGACCCTGAAGTCTTCCTCAATCACCTTCAGTTCATTGTCCTCAGAGTTGAATTTTAGATAGGAAATGGTTTTACTGAGAAGTCAGGTCATTTTCAGAGTATTATAGACATAACATTCAATTCTACAGATTAGATCCTACCAGAATGATAGCTAAATTATGATGTTATACTGCACAATGCAACATTGTTTTGAAGTAAATCTCCCCCACTCCATAAAAATGACATTTTATGGCTTGTCTTGCTAATTTTTCACCCATTTAGAGTCTGTCTGACAAAGAAAGTTGACATTGTTAAATAGCATAGCGTGCTTGCTTTCTTGTCATTCATAATTTTGAGCCTCTGCATTGGACTCCCTGTCTATTTGTACTTGGAGTTTCCCACCCACTTCCTCATTCACATGCACGTCTTATTCCATTTGAGTTCTTAACAGTTTCTCTGAGTAAACAGTTCTTTCCAGATTCCATATCCTCTTTATTCACTCCAACAATGGCCTTTGTAACCAAGAACAAAGTTAGGAGCAGGTGACAGATTATTGTTAACACTGTTGAGACAGTAGCTATTTATGAGATTTTCTCTCTCTAAACCTGCCTTTATTGTTTGCAGGTAGGATGATTCAGTGTTCACCACTGGAAATCATCACTTGGTTGGGAACACTAAGCCTAAACCTTTTTCAGAAACTGGCCAGTTGTTACTCAGGAATAGTGTGTGGAAGAGAGTGTCTTGGTTGTCAGTTATGGTTTTTTAAATTGCTGAGAGAGAGAGAGAGAGAGAGAGAGAGAGAGAGAAAGAACTCCTCAATGTGATATGGTCACACCACAATCTTTTTTCATCTGAAGGGATACCAGTCTCACTAAGTGGTTATAGTGAATTTATCCTGGGCATGATTGTGCTACTGGATGGCAAAACCCAGTAGCCTATTACCTTTAGTAAAGATTATCTACTGTGAACAAACTTGTACCAGCAGCATGGATTTGAGAGCCAGACTTCTGGAGATGTGACTCAGCTCCACCACTTCTTACGTGACCTTGAGCAAGTCCCTTAACCTTTCTGTATTTACTCATCCATAAAATAAATAACAGTACTCTCTTATATCAATCATATACTGTTGCATCATAAACTCATTC